ATCGTTACTCCTACTGTTACTTATGCAGAGGCTCGGGATGCTGCCTTTGCTGCCTTGCCTCACTTCACCTGCCCCATACCCAGAAGCATCTCCACCCCGGTGAGCTCGGAGACACTGGATTCCTCATCGCTGTGCGCGGCGTCACAGAGGTGGAAGGTCCCCGGCCTGGATCCCGATACTCACGGGCCCCCATGTCCCTGGGCCAGCTGCCATCAGGAGGAGCAATCGCTTGCTGAAGGAGTGCAGCAGGCAGGGCCCAGCAGAGGCATGTTTGAAGGCAAGGGCACAAGAGTGCTGTGATCCCTGGGCTCAGGACAGTGGGGCCCTCTTGTGCCAAGGCTAATTTTTGCCTGACATTTTGGGGAAAAAACAAGACCAAGTTCCCTGTGCTGGGGGAGGTAGCTAGTCTTGTTAGTTTTTGCCGGTGGCCCCAGTTAGCCCAGACCAGGGGCTCCAGCCTGCCCAAGAAGTGGGAGTGCACCCCCAGCTCTTTGCGGATTGAACAAAGGAGCATGTGGGACCTGGGATACGTCTCCTTTCGATCCTTCAAGCACGTGGCCCCTGGTCCCTAGAGATCTGGGCAGGGCTGTCACAAAGCAGACGGATCCAGACCACCATGTGGCCATGCCTGCATCCCACAAGCACCTGCACCTCATCCTCTTCCCGGGAGTAGATGGAAAGAAGCGGGAGAAGGCTGGCTGCGGGAGGAGCAGCAGAGAAATCCCTGCCTCCGCCACACTGAGTATCCATGCCCACGCGCAGCCAAAGCCTCGATGGGCCTGTTACCAGAGGAAGGAGGGGGCTGAGCCAGCCTGCCTCCTGGAAGCCGTCTCCGTCAGGGAAGATGGCATCAAGGAAGATCCCCACTGCCCCAAGTCTACCTGCCCTCGAGTGAGTAACACAGGCTCAGCCCACATCCAGTGCTGGGATCCTCCAGAGTCTGATTCTCCTCCTTCCCTAGGGTTCAGCACAAGGAGGAAAGGCGACCCTTTGGTCTTGATCTCGGTTGATTCTCCACTTGGTAAACTGTCTGCTTAGAGCTGGGTCTCCAGATGCAAACTGAGCTCAGTGACATGCCTGCAAACCCAGCTGGCTCCTGTTGGCTGCCTGGCCAGGGCTGGGACGTTTCTCGAGTGTAAGAGTTGTCACCTTGCCGTAAAGCACTGAGTAAAAGGACCTGCAGTGATAGGGATGCGTTGGTAACCCTGCAGCCTCCCTTTGACCAGGTAGTTGAGCTTTGCTGACCTGCTCCTGCAGCACTGTGCATTGATAACCATGGCTTTGAGTGATATTTAGTCATCTGTCACCGTTTCAGAGCCCCCTTGACATTTTTTGGCTTAATAAGCATTAGTGAACAGCTCAGCTATGCCCCCCAGAAACTGGAGCGGTTACAACACCATTCGGGAGCTAAAAGCAGGAGTGGGGCTGGGAAAGAAGGAGAAATGGGTACCTCTTGGACACCACTGGAGGGAAGGATGGGCTGGTGGGGATTTGGCCTCAACTATGCACAAAAATGTTGCTGCTCTTCTGTTACTAGTGTAGGCAAAGAGGTACAACCCCCACGGTGGGGACACGGCTATGCTGGGGAGGGGGGTTGGCCGAACAGGTGTGCCTGTGGGGCAGGGATTAAACCATGCTGGCACAATCGCCGGTATACATGTATCTGTGCTGGGAGCTGCACTGGGATGATGGTTGCAGTTGAAACAAGGCAGGGTGGATTATGCTGGTACAAAACCTGTCTGCCAGTGAGGCCAGAGATCATCCCATCCAAAAGTGTGTGGCTACTCCCGTGTCGGTGATGGGGCCCTCAGCAGGGTCTCCGTGCAGCAGCTCCGGTCACCGGTGTCCCACAAGCTGAGGCTGGCATTGCTGTGGCTGTGGCTCTTTTATGCTGCTCAGCGTCGTGACCTGGCTCTTCCTCTGCTGATGGCCCTGGGTGATCTTTTGGCTGATTCGCTGCAGAGAGTGCAGATCTACGATGGCCGTTGAAGAGGCAGATCAAAACACGGTCTTTCCAAGTTTGGGAGGAGCAGGGGTCTCTGACACTGTGGTCATTACCTGGCTCATGCTGGGAGAGGCTGTCTACACTTCTTCCTGACCTAGCTAAAACCCTAGCTCGTATTCACAGTGTCTTCCCATGGCTGTACTAGCAGTAAAAAAGTGGTCTTCCCCCAAGCATGGATGGTAAAGGAGGATGCCTAAGGCCAGGTTTGGATTATACTGGAAACAGGCTTCACCTCCATGATTTGTCCGGAGCCACCCTGTGCTGCAAGTCTTAAGGGATAGCCTCTGCTTTCTCTTGCAAATGGGCCTGGAAGTCGCTGTCGTTTGTTGCTGTTGCATTTTTGTATGGTAATATGTCCTAAAGCCCCCAAGCTGAGATGGGGGCTGCATTGCACTAGGGGCCGTATGTACAAATCGGCCCAAGCTTAGAGCTAGATCCTATTAGGCACCCAAGTGTGATCCTGTTCTGCTCTGCTCCTCCTCGCTGTGCAGGGTGACTTGGTCTGGAGGCTGGGAAGCTGGCACGCTGTGCAAGTGGGTGTGTTTAGCGGTTCTTCAGGGACCTGGGCAGGGCGGGATAGGATTGCTCTTGGGCACTTATTAGGTGAAGCAGGACCTTGTCCTTGCATAACAGACAGGAAATGTCATTGTCCCAGTGGGACAGGCCTTGAGACTCCGAGCTTGTCTTCGCTGCTGGCGGTCTGAGTCTAGCACGGCCCGTGCCAGAAGTCCTCAGGCCTGGGAGAACGGGGAGTGGCTCTCAAGCTGGCCCAGCATGGGGCAGGGGCTGATGCTCAAGTGGGTGCTCCAATGAGGACACAACTGTGCTGTGCTGCAAATGCTGCCACTCTGCTGGCTTGCAGTGTTTGAGAAAAGCTGGCATGAGCTGATGCTGCGGTGAGGACAAACCTCTGGGGCCTGCCCCAGCCCACCCTGGACGTCTGCGGCAGGGCAGAAGATTGATTTTTTTTTTTTGGTCTCTTCAGAGTCCCCAGCCAGAGCGCTGACCAGGAAACCTTCCTGGGGACATGGCGAGGACCCTCTGCTCTGAGCTGGCCTGGCTGCAAGGGGCAGCAGAAATGCTGGGAAGCTCCCAAGGAGCTGGGCTTTCCCAGTGCTCGGAGCCCAGTCCAGCAGCCCTTCTTCCAAGTGACCAGCTTGCAGGTCACTGCCCAGACTCCTAAGCGATGAATTGAACCACAACCCAGCTCCCAAGTAGGGCAGGTTCCTGCAAGCCTGGTTTGGGCATCCCCACGACATACTGGTCCAGTGCCTGTTGCCGGGCAGGCCTGGGGAGCTGTTGACCTGCATGAAACAGTGGTCCACACGGCTGGTTTCCAAAGGAGCAAAAGCCCCTCGTCAACAGAGTGGCTTAAATGTCAGCGGATCTCAGCCTGGGAAACAGCTGAGGGGGTGAAACATGTGCGCACTCATCAGTTGAGATGGTTTGACTTCTTTCAAAACGCCGTTTCTGAACGTTTGCTGAAACGCACGGGTCCCCCCGCAGCAGCCCTGCTTGCCAAGGCTTAGCCCCGAGGCAGTGCACGCCGCTGAACGATGGACCTTTTGTAAGAGGCTTCATAACGGAGACCCTGCCGAACCCATTGCTGCAGCGCTGCTGGTGGGTGCCGCTCCTCCCCTAACAGTTCATCAGCAGAACCCCTGACCCTTCCCCCCTTAATCATCCTTGCCTGTCACCGACATAATTGCGTGATTACCAGTCCCTCTCCCCCACCCCTTTCAGCCCCCGCACAATAGTGAATCTCAGCTACAAAATGGAAATGAACCATCCAACTAATTTCTGCCCCCCTCCCCTCCTTGCATTCAGCCAGATTGACCATAGCCAGCCTCTTTGTGTATGTGAACAGGGCCGGGGTGGGCTTTCAAGGCTGGAATACCTTGAGTGTGAGCGGATCGGCTGATGTCATTGTGTTATTGATTCGGGATTGCAAGTTCAGCCATAAATCATTAATGGAGGGGCTGGAAAAAAATACTGTATTGTTTTCCAGCAATCTGCTAGCTGTCAAATGCAGGCTACAAAGGTTGGGGGTGGGGGGTGCAGGGTGGATGCTTGGGGATCTCTGTCTGGATCGTTCGCTTTGTTTCAGACGACGGTAAGCAGCACAGTGGTGTTATGCAGTGATAGTCTGGAGTGCAGTGGACCCAGTGATGCTGCATCGCCAGGGAGCTCTCACTGGGAGGGTTTTTGTGAAGGTAGGAACAGCTAGGCAGAGGGTCCAGGGCTGTGTTGCTCCTACTTAGAAAACTTGCACCAACAGGCAGATCTCAAGTGGAGGGATAAGAAAACACAGTCCTGCCTTTACTGGGCACTTGGAGATCCTGAGTGGTGTGAGCACAGCCCCGTTAGTGGGACTGACGTCTGACACCCGCATTGGGCTGACGGTCTCGCTGCTGTCTGTTAGGCTTTCTGATCTGGGTAGAAAAAAACGAGAGATGGGGAGCAAACGTGCTGTAGCGATTCACATGTATCATAACACTGGCTTTTCCCTAACTGCTAATGTGCCAAAGGGAGAGCACAGACCAACTGCAGATGCTTCCTCAGCCTGATGAAGGGTGTTTGTACCCGAATACTTGCAAAGAGGAATTTTTCCAACTATTTGAGTTGGTCTAATAAAAGATACTGGACTTACCCAAAGATCCTTGCCACCTTGGCATTGGACACTTGCAGGCACTTTGATCTAGGGCTCTGCCCATTTGAGAGGTGAACTGAGGGGGTTGCTCAGAGCACTGCCCCTTCCTAGAGCGGGTCCAGCTGAGAGAGATTATCAGAGCAGAGGGCAAGAAATAACTGGTGCTGCCGAGCAACTGGTGCTTGCAGTATAAATGTTTCAGTGACTCGGTGCAAGGCTGTTGCAGGACCCCGCTGGAAACGGGGATGCATGTAGAAGGAAGCATCTGGGGAAGCTGGAGGGAAGAGGGTGAGTCTCTGTCCCTGTGTAGCCATGCCGTGCTAACCCTTGTCTCTCCCCCTGCAGGCGAGCTCACCTCCGCCTGTGTTTAGAGCGCTTAAAAGTTCTGATACCACTAGGACCAGACTGCACCCGGCACACGACGCTTGGGCTGCTGAACAAAGCCAAAGCACATATCAAGGTAAGCCTCGCCTGCTCCAGATGCCTTCTGTCTCGGCCGGTTCCAACGGCGCGTCCCTCAATTGCTCCCCGCCCAGAGGTAAATCCAAGCCCATGGAGACAAATGTCTTCCAAATGCATCGCTCCCTCAGCTAATCATCCATCATTATTACCATGTCGATTGCTGGGAGAGTCTATAATGAACTGTTCTACGGCAGTGATTGATTGCAAGAGCAGGGGTCTCATCCTGTGTTGTGATCAGTGGCCGACAGCGGCAGGTCTTTAAGAAGAAACCTGTCTGGTGTGATGGAGTGAGTGCTGTTTGATGAGGAAACATCGCTTTTTCTGGTACCAGGATGGTTCCCGCTGCTGGAAAGCTAGTGTTGAGCCCTAGACTAGCACAGGGTTGGCAGTTTGGACATCTGGCTTTCAGTCTGTCGGGACTTTGCGTGGTTTCCTCTGAGGTCACTTCTGGCAAAGAGGGGGAAAACAAGTCTGGTTTGCACAGATCGGGACTGTGCCCAGGTTCTTTGTTACAGCTCAGGATGGCTGAGGAAGGGAGCCCTGCTTCAGGGGTGGCTGGAGCCTGAAATGACTCCCTTCTTAAGCAATGTGCTGGCTATGAAGACCGCTGCCCTGGAGTTCCCAGCTGGGATTGAAGGAGTCTGCAGTAGGTTATATAAATGAGTAATTGTATGGAAAATGCTTCTTAGCGTTACCTATCATGCCAAGCAAGCAACGTGGACAACTCCCTGGGTAAATGTGTTTGTGGTCTGGGCTAGTTACCAGTGCTGTATCTGTCTGATTAAGGAACTTGAGGCCCCCCTGGCGGACAGACTCAGTGGTGCACGTGGTGTGTGCATTGTATATTCATAAAACGCTGGAGTGAAAAATGTTCTCCGCCGTAGATAGCCGTGCATGCACCCCAACATACCCAGAGCTCCCCTTTCTACAAATCTGCAGGCCTTGGCAGGGTTGTAAATTGATTGAGAAGAGTCATGGTTATTAGTAGAGAAAGCAAAGCAGTCTGGTCTGGTTTGGTCTGAGAGCATAAATCCTTTCAGAACAAGGTCCAGAGCAGAGTGCGCGGCTGTGCTTTGGAGGGAGGAATTCTAGCAGTAATCCCCTTTTGTATTTTATCACGTCAGAAACTTGAAGAGGCCGAAAGGAGAAGCCAACACCAGCTCGAGAACCTGGAACGAGAACAAAGATTCCTGAAGAGGCGACTGGAGCAGCTACAAGGGTCTCAGGAGATAGAGCGAATACGAATGGACAGCATCGGCTCAACCATTTCCTCCGATCGCTCAGATTCGGAACGAGGTGCGTACTTACCTGGGGGACGGCTGGGGATGAGGACAGGAGGCTCTGGGGATGTGGTGAGAAGGGCGCTGGAGCTCTCAGTCACACTCCATTCTCCCCACTGCTGCTGCTTTGTTTCTACCCTCTGAACGTGCCCCAACTAGCAGCCATCTCACAAAGGATGCACCTCGTTTGCCAGTCTTGCTTAAGAGGAAAGTGCCGTAATGGCAGCCCCGGGACTTTGTGTTGCTGCCACCCCCTGCATGTAACCGGGCTGTTAAGGCAGAATGCGAGAGCACTAGTAACAGTCTGGGATGCCAAGCTGGATAACGCACACGCTGGCTAGACGGTGAAAACAGGAGTGTGCACTCTGGCCTCTTGGCAATGGGGGGAGCAGGACAGGACAAGAGGGATAGTTTCTGAAACTTAGGACAGATCTTGGGCTGCTTCCTCTTGATTCTACAGTACGCTCTTACCCTCCCAGTCCTTTCTGCTGGGCGAGTCCTGTAGAGGACTTGAGGATGAGCTCTCCCTTTCAGGGGTGAAAGATGTTCAGTCTTCTGCCATGATTTTTCTTCCTTTCGACTGCGAGTTGAGGGCTGGGATTTGGTAGGTTGCAATAGAACCAAACAGAGCCACTTCCTTGGTGTCCCGTGTTAAAATCCTGTTGGTCCTCTAGCTGTCCATTAAGTCCTGCTCACAGGGAAAAAAAGGAGGTAGAGAAGACTTGTGTGTGGTTGTTAAAATCGAGGAGCATTTCCTTGCAGTCCCTCTGCCCCTGTCCGTATATCACAAAGAAACAACCAGAGGCACTCAAGCTGCTCAAATATTTATTGGCGCTCTGGGAACTGAAGCATTTTACAAGGTTTTTGTTTTAAGGTGAGTGGATAAAATGTATTCAAAGCACACAAATGGCTGGGCAGCCCAGCCCCAGCCCTGAGGGGGCCCAGTCATTTTGAAAATAGGACTAAGACTTTAAAGTCACTCACATGCCTTTGAAAGTATTAGCTTATCGCCCCATGGAAACACTTTTTCCCATGCTGGGTAGGGACCTGTCTAGCCTCTTTATTTGCATATCCCAGCAAGGCATTGTCCTGTTTGTGCTGTAGGGTACCCAAAGGTCCCGTGTCGTGTACTGTTGTACAGCCACCTGGACACGGGCAGCTCTGCTCTGCAAGAGGCTGACGCCAGCCTGCCACGCTGGCAGTAAATTCAATGCAAGCTGTGGCCACGTGTCCAGACCTGCATAACCAGTGTGGCTGCTCCATGCAGTGTGATGGAGGCAGGATAAGTCAAGCCCACACCAGCGGGCTGCCTGCCATGGCAGTGGTTGGCACAGGCTTCCTATGCATGCCCAGGGAGCAGGGCCCCTAAGCAACTAGTAAACACTAATCCTGTCTCCACCAAGGTCTTCAGCCTGGGAGTGCCAGGTCAGCTACCCCTGGGAGGGTTGAAGAGCCCCTGCGAACACCATGAGGCAGTAACTTCTCTGCTGCCTCATCTCCAGGAGATCGTTACTGCATGGCCCTTAGCATATACACAGGAAACATGTCCCCTGAGTCCTGGCCGATATGTAGATTTGAAGGAACAGTTGCCTGCACCAGTGCTAACCTGCGTGCATGTCTGTTGTTTTCCTTGCAGAAGAGATTGAAGTGGACGTCGAAAGCACAGAGTTCTCCCATGGAGAAGTGGACAATATCAGCACAACCAGCATCAGTGACATTGATGATCACAGCAGCTTGCAGAGCATGGGCAGTGACGAGGGTTACTCCAGCTCCAGTGTCAAACTGTCATTCACTTCCTAAAACAAAAACAGGACTCCAGTCTAGTGCAGATCACTTCCCTGGGGCAATCTGAATTCCAACTGGGTCCTCCTAGCTGGCAGTATCCTCTTTCAGAAATGACGTGTCAACAGTGAGATCTGTAAACATGGTCCCTTGGGTGATGGATGCCTCCGTAGCAACCCATCTACACTCATTTGGTTGTGTTGCAAAATCTCAATTTCCACTGGTAAGAGGTTGGGCTGAATTCTAGTCCTTCAGAAGTCAGGGACATTCGTTTCAGCGGTGCTGGGATTTGGGCTTTAATGATGAGTGACCTTGCTTTGACTTTTATTTATTTGAAAGAGGATACTGGCAGTTCAGCTCCTTCTCTCCCTCTCTCTCCTCCTCCCCACCCTTTCCTCCTCTCCTCCCCCTCCTTTCTGTCATGAGATCTAGGAACGACCCAATTTTCCTCTGATGTATTCAGATTGAGCACCTTGGTTAAGACCCTTCTAAAATGTTTGTGGGCCCAAAAGGACGCTCTCCTCCTGGCCGATCCCAATCGAGCATTTTTAGACCACAGCAGGAAGTCGCAGCATCTCTGCTTCTGAAGGCTGATCATGTAGCTTGTGAATAATAATGAGGAACCCAATTCATGCCCAGGGAGAGGGAGGCAGCAGTGAAGTACGTTCACAAGAGATCACCGTTCAGCCCAGCTTTTTATTGGACGCCGTTTAAAGCAAGTACCTCTACCGCATTGCTAGCACTAAGGTACTACAGCTAATCTACCAGCACACAGTGGGCTGCTTTGTGGAGTCAGGCTGTGACCCTACCAGCAGTATTCCCCTGTAGACACACGTACACACACACACACACACGTACACACACACACGTACACAATCGAGGACAGAAAGATATCAGCACATAAGACATGATTGTGCTGGAAAGTCATGTCCAGATACTGAGCCACTATGACCTTTTTATTTAAAGATTTTTTGATAAACATTTGTAAATGTGTTGGGAGAAGAAGAAAAACACGCACCAAATGTGACATGTCTTTTTAGAGCTTGTCCATTTGAAACCTTTGGTGTCTTTCTTTTTATAACAAATTAACATGACTGGAGAAAGTATCTGTGTGGTGAAGCACTTGACCCCGGGAAACCTGAAGATGCTCTTTGCCATGCACGAGATGAACCATGTCTGCGCTAGCTGGGAAAGGTTGGGTTGGCTGGTTTGGTTTAGTTTGGATTCCTTGTTTAGAGTCATTCCCCTTTTGCATACCTGATTCTTTACAAGTAGTTCCAGTCCAGTAGTTAACATAGTCGAGCACAGCACTTCTGTTAACGTAACGTTTTACCTACACAGTCCCCTCACAAGGGCAGCCTCCATCCTACCTGTGCAGATGCTGTTGCTGTCAAGAGCTAATGTATTGAATCTTTTATACTTTTCTTTGAGACGAGTTTTCTAACCTGCACTTTGAGGGCTTTGCTTGCTTTTTTTTTTTGTCTTTTTAATGGCTTCATTTTGTTTTCCAAGTTAAAAACCTTCCCCTATAGACCTCACCTCATTGTTTGAAACTTTGTATACCTTTAAGTAATTTAACTTTCCCTCGTTACTAAGGAAAAAAAAAAAAAAAGAAAGAAAAGAGGAAAAAAATGCTTTATAAGATTCATAACTTATTGCTGATTTGAATGGGTTGTTAATTTCAGTCCTGTAGATTTTATTTTATTGTTTTTAGGTAGGGATGGGCAAAAAAGTAAAATAAAAAAAAAATAAAGACAACATTATTTAGCAGTGCAGTGGAATTGTGTTTAAATGTTAGCCTATGTCCCCCCACTAAAGTAGCACTTTAATGCCATTAAACATTTCTGTATTTGAAATGCATTGTGTTCCTCCATCTTGGTCACTTGTGTGGTTTTTAGCATACTTTCTTGTCTCTTTATCTTGTGCCTGGAAAAAAAAGTTTGTTGCCCTTTTGATCTTATGAGAAGATCCTGAATGAGTCTGATGTAGATTTTGTCCTAAGTTCTGGTGTACCGCGTGTATTTTTACACCTTCCTATGTTACCGATTCCTGCCCCCTCTCCCCCCAGATGCAATATCATACTATGCGAGGCACAAGACCTGTCTTAATAGAGCAGCAGAATAATCTTTACCTGGCTTTGAACTATTTCTGGGTTTTTTACGTCTTTTGGCTATTAAAATATGGGTCAGACTGGTGCTCTAAAATATGCTTACACCTGTGCATGTGTAATACAGTGGCTCTAATGCATGTGAACATGTTTTCCTCTAGTGGGTGACCCAGCAGGAACAGGAAGATGCCAGTTGCTGGTATTGTAGTGATTCCTTAGCTCAGCTGATAGAGATTTGGGCTTTGCACTGAACACCACTGCTAGCAATGGTAGAGCCATTAAATAATGCAGCTGCAGCATTTCACCCATGTTGAAACTGTACACATCTGATTTTAGTTAGACTATAAAGGTGCAAATTTACCCTGCCTTCTGCCTTACACATGCTTGCCAGTGTAGGTCAGGAGTAAGAAAGAAGATACTGAGTTATGGTGGAAGGATCCCATATGGGGACAAGGATTGGCCTAGCCCCAGTGATTACCAGTTTGGCCCTGTTAGGATTGTCAGCAGCAGGAAGGTCTTGGACACTGTTCATCTGGGTGCTGTTTGCTCCCATTTTGTGACCCTTTCCCACTGCAACAAGAAATCATGAGGTGACTATCTGCCACAAGGCCTGATTCTTCAGGCACGCACAGCTCCAACTGAAGTCACTGGGCATGTCTACGTGTATATTTAGGCGCGCCTAAATTTAACGCACGTTAGCTTAATGTGCGTTAAGGGGATTTTAGGCTCATGTCTACATGTGCACGCGTTAAAGCACATGGGTGCCGTGTGCATGGACTGATGTGGGACGAAAGTCCCACATCAGTCCATACACAGCATTAATGTGCCTTAGTGTGTCTACATCTGCATTAATGTGCTTTAGCTATTTGCACCTAGATCTGATACCTGCTTTACAGGTATCAAATTTGGGTGTGAATAGCTGAAAATCACCATTTTTAAGGCACATTAAGGGTGCACGTGTGTAGACGCACACCCTTAATGCGTCTTAAACTGGCATGTATAGATGCGCAGACTGGGATCTCCTGGGGTTCAGCTCCTTCAAAAACCACTCCCATGGTTCACGCAAGCTAACGTGATCCGTCTGGCTCAGGCAGCCTTGTCCTCTTTGATTCCTCCTTTTTGGCTTGCTTTGGGAACAAAAACATACATGTGATGATAAAAAGTTTGCCTGGAGAAAAAAAAATCAATTGAGGAAAATAAAAGCTAGAGACCGGGGGGGGGGAGAAAAAGTGCCAGCTTATTAAGGAAGAAAATCAGCATTTTCTCTCCTGGCTAACAAGGCTAGTGTCTGTGTGTTTTGAAGGGAAAATGGCTCAAGATGCCAGGACAGCAGCCCACATTATGTGCCTTTGTGGTCAGCGTGTTATCAGCTGCTATCTTTCAAACTGCAGCCAAGAGGTTTGAAATGTCTGGGGATCCAAGTACTCTACAATAAGTGTTAAGGGAGGAAATGTTGGACCACTTCCTAGTTCCCAACTGTCCCAGGGACTCGGTGAGCAAAGCAGCAAGCATTAGCTTTCAGGTAGGAATGGCCTTTAACGGCCAACAGGCTTCTTCCACAAGCCTTTGTATTGGTAGTTAAAGACCAATGGTTGGTTGCTGACTGGTGTCTGGGTTGGTACTAGGAGCTCCCTGGTTCCTCTCACTTCTGGGCACTAGCGGAAGATTCTCTGGTGAGAGACATTCCCACGCCTGAAACGAGCCGCCAGCAGGATAAGTCAAGCCCACGCTGGTGGGCTTCCTGCCATGGCAGTAGTTGGCATTGCTATATGTACTGGTATAATAACCATGTTGGTAGCCCGGGTCTTTCTAGCAAAATAACCTAACATTTGTGTGATGACATTCGTCTAGAGCTGATGCCCTTGTGGCCTGGCTATTGAAACTGAGAGTTCAGTAAGTCAACACAAGTTGGCATCAAGGCCATTTCTGGGGTGTAGGCACGTCTTGATGGTTTCCCCTCTCTCTCCCCCAGTTTCCCTTCACTTTGTGCTGCTGCAGCTCTCATTCCCAGGAAGCAGTTTCCTGCTCTCCCAAAAGAGAGAGGCCAGAGGATGTTCTGGATGGGGAGGTGCAAGAACCTTGTGCTGAAGGATCTGTAGCTTTGACAGGTCTGTTAACCTAGATCAGCGGTTTCCAAACTCTGACAGATTGCGTACCGCCCATTTAAAATGATGCAACCTTCAGTACCACCAGCAAATTTTTGTCATATAAAGTAATTATAATAAACCTGTTGACACGTACCGCTGAAGGGTGGTCTGCGGACCACGGGTGGTACCTGTACCACGGGTTGGGAACTGCTGACCTAGATGGTTCATTCCAGGTTGAAAACAGAAAACCCACCCTTCAGCGAAGCCCTGTTAATTTTGTGTGAACCATGAGCCTTCATCTCCAAGTACTTCCCAGGCATGGAGACCAACCCATTCACTGGGGAGTTACAGAGCTAAGACTGAGAAGGGCAAGTTCTGTAGTTTGGGGCTTGGGTAGTTTTGGAGCGTGCCACTCTTAGACATGGTCTGCATCAATGATGTTCTCTCCACAAATATCCAGGAGACTCTGGCACCTTGTCAAGCATAATCTTAATTTACAGAAGAAGGTCGTTTCCTCGCTGGAGCTTCTGCTAAGGTGACCATGGATGCATGGTGTGGTAGAGTTGGAAGGTTGTTGTAGGTGCAGTGGTCCAGGGAATGTCCAAGAGGCAAGGGTTTTTTGTGATCATCTTTTATTGGACTGTACAATCATGCCCAAAAGTTTGCCCAACAGCTCTCCCAACTATTCAGTTGGTCCAGTACAAGGTAGCACCAAAATCCTTGCCTCGTTGATGCAGGTTTACATCAGAGATGTAACTAGAGATTACGAAGGGCTTTGGCCAGGAAGATGCATGAAGTAATCTGGAAATTCGGGAATCTGAATTACTTCGAGACGAGCGGCAAAGTCTGGTGAACTTGCTGAGTTTTAGATGAACTCTCTCTAAGCTGAGTAGGCCGAGGCAAACACAGCTACAGTCACCCCTTGAAGAATGACTGACTTCAAAACCTCCTGTGCTTTCCATGCACTATTAAGCTTACATGTATCTGGATGTGGATATATCATTGATTCGTATGTGGATGCACAACCGTTGCCTTGAGGAAGGTGGTGACCAGGAAGTCTTCATGTAGACTGGGAGCTGTGCAGTTGGCTGGTTCTTGGGAAGTCGGATACAAGTTGGTTGGTTACATCCAAAGAAGTGCCCTCCTTTCTGCCCAAATGGAGCCCAGTGAAAGGGCAGCTGTGAACCGAAGATGTACCTTATCTACAGGCCTTCTGATATGATACTAATAACCTAGTCTTCTATTGACCCTGTAAAAGACAGCATGTTTCTCTCTTGTAAAGCCTCACAGATTAAGCAACTCTCATTACCTTAGGTGGAAGTGATCAGCTCTTTTTTAGCCAATCTCCTTTTATTCCTAGCCCAACTAGCTGCAAGTTCAGCTTTTGGCCTACCAGCATAAGACAGACGTCCGGTCTACGTTGTCTATAGATGAGCTTGGCTTAACCCAGATATTCTTATCACATGGTATGCACTTTCCAGCTCTCCCAAAATGGATGAGACTTGATCCTTGTTCAAATTTGTTTCCTAAATAAGGTGACTTTGGGGTTTATTATCAAGTTTGTAGCACCCAGCCTCCAAAGCAAGCATGAAATCCGTCCTCCTCTGTTTACAAGAACGAGGTGACTTTTTCCTTACAAAATGCATGGTATTTCTTCTTTATTGCCCTGCCTGTGTGGTCCACACACACACATTGCTTCCCCATAAGCTCATCATGGCAAGCTTTTCCTCCATAAATTAGGTCTGTAATGGGTCCTTTTGCTACAGAGAAACCCATTAGAAAGACCATCCCGCATTTTCTTGCTTTTGACATCGGTGTATTATAGCATGTCATCTTGTGTCTGCAAATGAGGTGGAGACGGCTGTCTGGCTGCATTTGTCATGGTTATCGTTTGGCAACCTGTCACTCGAAGGTCATTGGGGAAGTCCGTTCCGTTAGAGGCGTGTCGCTGACGGACAATGGCCTTGAATTGTTTTGCCATGCGGGATCCATAGGTCAGCTTAAAAAAAAGGGGGTGGGGGGGAGGGTATCTATTTTTTTTGTTACCAAATTGTTCATAGGCCCTCGCGTGCAGGAGAATCCAGCTCTCTTCTCGTTTGCCATGCTCTGCTTCCAAGCTCCCACTCCCTGCTGATGTCTGCTCTGTCTTTTGTCCTCAGTTGCTCTCATTGGAGGTTGAGCCGCAATTTGCTTTGCCTTGCCCCACCTGGGATGAAATCCTGACCACACGGAAAGCCATGGCTGAGATCAGGATCTTACCCCAGGGGCTGGGATGGAAAGGAGCTCACTGTGACAATAAAGATTTGCTGTAGCACTGACCTACTCCCCTTGCCTCTTGGAAAAATAGGAAAAATGAACAAGATGTTCCTGCTGATGGACTCCTAGTCTGCCCTTTGCTATTTCCAGATGGGAGTTTCTATTTTTAAGTTAGTGAGCTCTTCCTTTTGCTGTCAAGGGGAGATGGTGGAGGCCAGTTAAAAGAGCTCCTTATTAATTTAATGGGGACCATACAATGTCAGTGGAATAGTTCATGAATATCATAGTATCCTACCACATATGCAGTCTTGTTCCATACCATGACCATGGTGGTTTATAATGAGATCACATAGTCATGTCACTGATGCATTTGGACTTCGTTAAATTGCTTTTGTTTCTGCTTCCT